TGCGGAGTTGTAGTAATAATTGAAGCATATCTCGACGAATAACATTATTATTTTCTCTATATTCAATAGTTTTACGTGCGATATCCTTCATTGTTTCTGATGCTTCGTCACGACAACCCAACATTACAAAAAACTTTTCTAAGCTAAAGTTTTAATAAATTTTATAACTTATAATCAATTGTCTACATTTCTTAATACTTACTTTGGATATAAGACTGAGCAAGTACCTCTTAAAACACTTTTAAATGTCGGTTGATTAGCTGTATAGCTCACACTATAGAACAAATTATTCGGGTCTTCAAAACTATTTGTTTCTAAACCAAATATAACTGAAGCAATTATATCAACAGCGTAACTATAAAAAAACTTATTATTGCTACTATATTACACAAGTTAAGTAAAAAGTTACGTTGAAGAAATTTCTTTTAATTCCACTTCAGCAGATCCATTATCAGGTAAAATGTTGTTCAAATGATTAATCATTCTATATGATGTTTCCTCTATGGTACCAAACATGCCTTTTAATTTTCCTGAAGTGAAAGAAGGTGCTAATTTTGTACGTAAAGTTTTCCACTTTGATCCCTTTAAGGCAAATAAAGTAGCTGACATTGGATTCTTCTCTTCATCTACATAAACGCCACGATCGTGAAAACTATTGAAGTCCTTAGTCATTACATCACGTGCTAATTGTGCATCTCGTACAAGTAAGGCAGGGCGGGTTAATAAGTAAATTCCTACAACTTTTTCCTTTGAGCTTTTGTAAGCGTCATATATCGCCATCCCAAAAGAACGTTGGCGTTTTACAACGGAATACAACACGCCTAATGGGGTTTTTGCCTCAATGTAGGGAAATCCTTTACGTTGCCAATGTGTATAATTCCATCTGAGGTAGACAACTAATAGAGTTGACGCGGCAAATAACAATAAAAGCAGCATTTTAAAAAATCTCTAACCATTTAAAGTAACCACAAGTTCCAAACACTTCGCCTGTTTGTTAGATACTAAAACAATATTCATTGATATACCCCAGTAATACTGTACGTTTTTATAATAGTTGTCAGTACTGATAACACTTCAATACAATCTGCTCGGGACTTAATTTGATCATTTATAAAGCTGAATTGTTTATTTATTTTTATCGCCATTGACAATGACTTAACGGTTTTTGTTTATAGTAAGAAGTGTTTATAGAGTGTGAGGTTGCAACTAACTTCCATACAAGTTCAGTTCTGTTTTTGCTGGTCATTGTTGGTTTCATATACATTTTGATCAATACAAGCAAGTTTGAAACAGTATTGAGGTGTTTGATGCCATTTTTGCTGAATAATTTATTCTATAATATTCGTATCTAACAATGGTTTCGATCATACACAACTCTTGTTGAGTTCATACTTACCGTCTCAAATCGAACTAAACTAATCTATACAAAAAAATAACAACAATTATTACATAGTATTTATTTTGCAACCTGCATGTAACAAACATGTATGATTTCTCTTCTAGTGACAAGGTAATAATATCGAAATATATTAAAATCGATTAATTCTAATTATCTTATAGATTTTATGTACAATATCGCATAGAATCGCTGTAACTTCTTATGTATCTACTGTATATTTAATAAGCAAAATTGTATAGTTTAAAACGTACATGTTCTTCTGTAGATTTTTTAATGTTTCTTTTGCTACTATACCATTTGATCAAAAAAAATCGAGAGTTTAAAAAGAACGCAAAATTTTACTTTTTAATAATTTTTTTTATTATCGCCTTCAAAGTACTCTCCTCCTGCGGCAATACATGCATGCCAACGCTTGATCCAATTTTCCATATTAAAATCCACGAGTTTTCCTTCCATAAATGTGGCCTTTTTTGCGAATGGCCTCACGCAAACGACGCGTAATGGTAAAATAATACTCCTTATTGACCGTTTGATCGTCCAGAAGGAATTCATAGTGCACCACACCACAAATATCGAAGAAAACAGTCAGTATAACCTTGATTTTGGACCGACTTTGGCGTTCTCTTTTCGGTTTCGGCTCACCTTCGAAGCACCATTCGGTCGATTGTTGTTTGGTGGGCATGTCAAATTCATAGACCCATGTCTCATCACCAGTTATGATGCTTTCGATGAATGTGTGGTCACTATCTGCGTTGGAAATCATTTCTTTGACCACATAACAACGATGCTTTTTTTGAATGAAATTCAGCTAAAAATCACCACACGAAAATTTTTCGACTTGTTTGTATAGACGCCAAACAAAAACTAATCGTACGATATGCGTTAAACTTTGACATAATGTGTATAATAGTGTTGCCAGCGTGAAAATAAAAAAATTTACCGATTGGATAAGCACAGGAACTTATTCGTTCTTTTTTGATCACAAGGTATACCAAATTTTTATATATTGACTTTTAACAATAATTTGAAAATACTAATAGTTATAATTAAATCGAATTTTGATGAAGAATTATAAATAAATACTTCTATAGGTTACTTGTTTCGACATCTTGTTTTACTTATATTATTTATAAAACGTTTATATATACATGAACGCCATTATAAAGAAATAAAATATCAATATTTTATTTTATTTATCTCTTATTTATTATCGATATTCAAACGAAAACACATTGCAGAATTACAGAAGATCAATTTAAATGTTTTTTTTAAATTATTATTTTCTTTTCAATTTATTTTTTTTTGATAAACGTACATTTATACCACCTTTAGCAACTAAGACTACACTATAATTATCGACTTCAATTTCGGTAGGTTTATCTCTTATTTCAATTTCAAAATTTGTTAATATTTGAGCAATGGCCACTTTGGCATTTAATTTACCCATGCGTTGAGCTAAAAAAGTTTTTTAAGTTATATTATAATTATAGTACACATATACATATAAAATTCAAACAAAAAACTCATTACTACTTACCAATGCAATGATGAGGTCCTTCACCGAAAGGCATATAACCGACAGGATTGTAGTTCATGTTTTCTTCTAAAAACCGTTCTGGATCATATCGCAATGGATCAGGAAAATACACTGGATCACGATGTATACCAAATAGAGAAATAATTATTCCAGTTCCTTTCTTAATGACCATTTTTGATAATCTTCTGTACACTAACGATTTAATATGGGTAATCCAGGATATTTACGTACAGTTTCTAAAACAAAATTGTAATATTAATAACTAACAACTGATATCTTGGGTTTATGTTATATATACCCATAAGACACAAATCTAACTCAGTTTGCCTTCATACTTCGCTAATGTTTCCTCCACTTCTCTGTTAGCTTTTGCTAAAAGTTCTGGATTTTGCGATAGTTCGTAAATTGTGAAAGAAATTGCAGATGATGTTGTATCAAAACCACCCATATAGAAGATGAACAATTGCGCAGCTATCATTTCCACAGACATGGATTTAAAAGCATCTGTATAATAAAATCTCTTTAGTTTGTGTACTAGTCATTGTTGGTCATTACATTTTGATCAATACATACAAGTTTGAAACAGTATTGAAATATTATTTGCTATTTTTGCTGAATAATATATTCTATAATATTCGTATCTAACAAATCGAACTAAACTAATCTATACAAAAAAATAACAATAATTATTACATAGTATTTATTTTGCAACCTGCATGAAACAAACATGTATGACTTCTCTTCTAGCGATAAAATATATTAAAATCGATTACTTCTAATTATTTTATAGCTTTTATATACTATATCGTATAGAATCACTGTAACTTCTTATATATCTACTGAACATTTAATTAGCAAAATTGTATAGTTTGAACAGTACATGTTTTTCTGCGGATTTTTCAATGTCTCTTTTGCTACTATATACCAAGTGTATAGTTTTTGCGGTTCTTTTTGGTATAGAAAACATGTAATTTTCAAGGAAAATTAGTTTTTTGCGACATATCATTGCTTAAATGGTTTTCCAACTTCCTCGAATTTGCTAAAATGCTGCTTCTTGAACACATGCCTCATTGATTTAAAGAAGTAGTAGTCAGATTACTGTGGAGACAGATCTGTGGAGTATGATGGGTGTGGAAGGATGCCATTTGCTTGAAAAAGCCATAATTTAAACATAATTAAAGGAATATTCAATGTTCTGTAAAAGAATATTATCGACTGGTATAAGATATTTCTATATATAATTTTTGAGATATATTTGGACTAATGTTATTTTTGAGTAGATACCCATATATATTAGAAATAGACCGACTACGAGACAATTATTTTCATTTCTTAAGGCAACATTAACAACAGGATGTCTACAAACGTATATATTGAAATATTTTTAGTATATCATCAGCTTATGGCTTAAAAAGATAAGAAAACTGACTTGTTGATTTTTATACTATATATATCATCTAGCTTATATGTATTAATTTTAAACACTAAAAATAAGTTTAGCCATTGTAAACTACCTATTAAAAGGATCTTGAATAATCTTATTCATAAATTATACTTGTACGTAAATGATATTTTCCTGTTATTATATATATTACATTATATACTATAAATTTATATAAGCTGGAACAGTTTTCTAGGCTTATTATATTCCAGTTCGCTTATAGAGCTTTATAACCTATCTTGTTATAAGAACTGTTACAACTTTACGAATAACAAGGAAACTAGAAATGTAGGAACAACTGGACAATAAAGGTTAAACTATTATCTAAATAAACTGGAAGTGTGGACGAATAGAGATTTTACAGTTTTTACATTTCACAAGATAATGACTTAAAACTCAGACAAAGAAGATATATACTACTCTTAATTATAGATTAGAAATTAAAGAGAAACTAAAAATGTATGCAGCATGTTCAATAAACATAAAAATCGCAATTCTATAGTCCATAATAATATACTAATATACTTATATTATATTCTACAAATAATTTTTTATTTATCATTATATCCTAGTTTGTAGTGTACAATATTATTTAAATTTGAAATTTAAATTTTATTTGACTATTTCCAATTATGTATTAAGAAAAACAAAACTTAAACTTTCGGATCTCGGAACGGAATTGTGTTTATTTTGAGTCTGTGTCAAGTTCGGGTGCAAAATTTGAGACTCAAACATAACACATGGAGTGGATTTGTAATAATATATATTTTCAATAAATTTCCTTCAAAACGCACATTTCGATGTAATCTTATGAATTCATTATTTTATTTACTTAATTTTCACATAATTGATATCTGAAACGTTTCAAAAGTGCATATATATATTTATATTTCCTTTATTGAATTGATGTTATGTTTCTAGTAATCGGCAAATATTAAATATCAAAAATCAAGTCACCCGAGAAAACATCTGAACATAGAAACTTCAAATTAACTTTAAAACATTTTGTAAATATCACATACTAAATTAATTAATATTGTTATGGGCGATTCTGAAGCTGATGTAAGAAGGAAAGCCAAAAAAGCCATGGAAGACGCTGAAGCAGATCTTAAAGAAAGAATTTCAAAGGCAATCCGTACAAAAAAACAGGAAGAACGTGAAACAGAATTTTCCGGCGCCATTGACAAATGTACAACTGATCTTATGGTGAAAGGTACAGGAGGTTTGGTAATCGGTACCTTGGCTTCTATTTTGATTGTGCGGCGTCGTGTCTTTCCTATCATTTTAGGATTAGGATTTGGAGTGGGTATGGCTACAGAGGCATGTATCACCAAAATGAACGCGGTGCCAGCTAGATCTCGCCGCTAAAGATATTCGTACTGCTTGTTCCAGTAGCTGCCGTTTGGATGAATAAATAAATACTTAAATTATATTATTCCCAATGTAAGTTGCTCTTGAAGTTAAAATACATTTGTCCAAAAATATACTATTTTCTTTGTCTTAGATCAAAGTTCAAATTTTTATGTCGCTGTGGTGTCGTAAATTTTTCTGTCCTATTTCAGTTTGGTAATAATCAAATACTGGATAAATTGTTATGCAAAATATTTTTATTTCTAATAAAGTTTTTATGATTAACACACATGTTTGGAGAAATTATCTTAAACTGTAACTAAAAAGGTATTAAAAATGCATTACGATATTTGTAGGTATTTAAGTATTCGACTCATTATCTGCAGGATGAAACGTTCGCTCATGGCATTTGTTTACGCTCTGCAATTGCCAGGGCATAAACCAACAACACTAGCACCTCTAGACCGTTTTCATTGAACCCAAATAGTTCTTGGAAAATGAATAATATAAAAGAATATTTTTATTCTTTAATATATGCCAATTAGTTCCAATCAGCTTACAATACTTTCTTCAAATAGTTTGCATATTATAATAATAATTTTAGCTTCCTAGTAAAAACAGCCCTTGCTATTAGTTTAAAGCTATTGTCAATATAAGAAAAAGGTAATAATATCATTCAAAGAAGAATTTCCACCCTTTTAATTCATAATACACTGCACCTTCAAGTCATAGCTGGCGAACCGGGCTATAACTATGATCTAAGGTTTCATCTTAGTGCTTGTTAAACAATATTGAAAGTTGATCTTCTAACAGTTTACCTATTTGGTCCCACTTGCTTTTCTAAATTTCTTGTTTATGTTAAACTTATTAAACCTACAGCTTAATATTGTATATTTTTTGAGGTCATCATATAAGCAAGACACATCTTAGAGACTGGTTTTTAAAAATCTTATTTGATTGCAGTGGTCCTCTTCATTGTTTTACTTTAAAAAATAGAATTTGGTTATATAGCTGCAGTTACATATCTCTTTAAGTTAAATAAAGGCACCTCTAGTCTTATTAATTGTAATAATAATATCCGCTTTTTATGTTATACTGCTTTTAAAGTATATTATTGATTGCAAACATTCTATTTTCTCTGTTTTTAAATCTATGGAAGTGGAAGAGACAACTTCATAATCGCTGCTCATGTATTTACTTTTTCCATTAGTAATATCTTGGTATATTGTGGATATATTTCTGAAGTTGCACCATCGTTCTAAGTTGAGTTTCTTGGACTTTAATTCAGCATTTCTTTCAAATTGAATAAAAGTACATCTGGTCTTTTTGATTCTAGCACCAACAACTTCCTGTTTCTCGCATATTCTTGTTATAATGCATTCGAGATATATTATTGATTGCAAACATTCTAACTCCCCGATTTCTGATTAAATGGAAGAAAATGATGCAACTTTATATCCGCCACTCATGTTCTTACTTTTAGCCTTACTAATTTCTAGATATACAGCAAATATATGGCTTACTAATATCTAAAAGTATTATATATGGTTCTAATTTCACCATTACTCTAAATTGGACTTGTGAAGTTTTACTCAACTTTTATTCTAAGTTGAATAAGAGTACATCTGATATTATTGATTCTAGCAATGACATCTTCCTCTTTTTTTATAACTCCTTCAAGATAGCATTCTAGCTCCCCGATTTCTAAATAAAGAAATTTTTAGAGATTTCTAAAGAAAATAAAACTTTCTATCCACCGCTTATGATCTTACATTTACCCTCAGTAGGTTCGAGAAATATTGGAAGTCTAGTGTAGAATATATGACGTATTAATATCCTGAAGTATGGTGGATATTTGACTTTGATTCAAACATCATTCTAAGTTAGATTTATGGACTTTCATTGAACTTTTGTTCCAAGTTTAATAAGAATATAACTAGCCTTATTGATTCTAGCAATCAATATCATGCTTTTTAGTAATGTTATTTATTAAAACATTCTAGCTCCTGAGTTTCTTACTGAATGGAAGTATAAGATCCTGTTTCATACTCTGGGCTCATGATCTTACATTTTTTCTTACTAATTTCTAGATATATGGTAAATATATTGCAATAAATCCATGTTCTTTTTAGTTGAATAAAAGTATCTCTAGCCATATCTCATGTTTATGATCTTATTTTTTCTCCTCACCAATTTAACGACCCATTCGTAAAGAATGTGCGTACTCTATTCTGGTGGGTAGGCAACTATTCCATAGTAGACATAAAACATGTCTCTTGGATAATCTTGAGATAAACTGAGTGTTATGATAGAATATAAACATTTAATGAGAAGACTTGACATTTTCAAATAAATGATCTTGAGGTATGGAATTATTCTACTGAGTGTCTATCTTAAAATCACGAACTTCTCAAAATTCTAAATAATTTTAAATATATTAAATAAAAAACATAATTATTTTTATAATATTATTTCAATTTATTTACATTTAACTGAAAAATATAAATAATAAAAAATTATTAACAGATCGTTCTCTTATATTTTTTGCTAGACCCATCAACTCTTCAAAATTCTCTTAGCTTTGATTACTGCTTAATAATTTTCTCTTTATTGTTTATATATGTTTCTGTTTCCCCATGACTCTTCGGTATAATTGTTATTTTCATTTATTGGTGCTTTGCCTTGATTTTGATGAAATTTTTTCACAGATAGCCGGCAAAGTCATCATCAGTTCCCGCACCGAAGCGCACGTACGAAGTGCTTAAAAGTTTTATTGCAGAAATAATTTGTTGAATGTTCTTTTCAAGCCGCATAAGATAATTATATTTACTTTACTTTTTGTATGCGTGCCTCGATAATAAAAAAAATTAAACATACTTTGGTTGGTGCTTTGTGAGATGTATCTTGTATCTTGTATCTTAAATGGCATAAGATGAAATGTCAATCTTTTAAATTATTTTCTTTAATTGAGAGTTCTTAATTAAATGTGTTCAAAGTGCATTTGTTAAAAACTTTGCGTAATTTATTCGTTGTCATTATTTAACTAAAAAAAGCAAAACATAATAAACAAAGAAAAGGTGAAAGATTTAAAATTTTACTTAAATAATTTTGAATACGTATTTTCTACGTATCTATCGAATGTTTGTGCTTATGTGCCTCGTAATATCTGAAGTTATTAAACGTGAAAGTGTTTTCTGCCCTTTTCTTTTAACGTCAGTGCCAAAACAAAATTAAATTTCTACATTTTTAGATATATAATTGTATATATATATTTCAAGTACTAACACACAACTGCAAATTTGCAACATTTTTAGAATCGTAGAAGCAGTTCATGTGAGTATCTGCAGTAATTTCTATGTGTAAATCATTTCCACTTTCTGCATCAAAGGTAATAAAATGCCAAATATCTGACACATGAAAGAAAAATTTAATTGTGTAGATTCAATTTTTAGTCAAAATATATTCTGCATTTGTATTGTGATCAAAATTTCATTATCCAAATGTTTCACATTGCCGAGGTGTTATTTACTCAAAAAAGAAAATTTGGTTAAAGAAAATCTTATTCAATTATTTCAATGACTTGTAGTATTTTTTTCTTTTAAGTTTTTAGTAAAATTATTTCTAATTATTTGCTTGGTAGGAAAAAACGTTATAAATTTATATCAAACTTATTATAATTTAAAAAAAATAATTAAGTAAATTAGTTAAAAAAGAAAGCATCTTTAATTAATTCGACATTTAATTAAATAGCTGAATAGCAACTGAATTATTTTTTAACTGTCTTTAGCTAAATAATTTTTTTTTGTATTATTAATTATTTTGAAAACCCAATTACCGATCATTTAATTATGTTTGAATTATTTAATTTTTTAATTATTTTTCTAAAATATTTCAATAAGTTAACAAATCGTAATGCTACTATATGGTATATTTTGTTTTTGATCACTTTACATTAGAGTAGAGTAAAGAGAAATTCATTACTATCCCAATATATAGGTTTAAATATCTAAATTCCGCATTGTATAAGTCCGATACGGTTACACTAGATGACGTTAGTAAAATAAGATATCGTACTAAAAAAACTTTTGACAGTTGGATAATTGGTTGACTCAGTTCTGTTTGGGCTAAGAGAAAATACGACTTATTTTATGGTTTTTCTTTGATAAAGGCGAAAACGTAAACCAGGCGCAGCTATAGATATAAGTATATTTATGGTCCTGATACTGTAACAGTTAATCATGCGCAATTTTGGTTTAGTCGATTCCATTCCGGTACTGTTTCGATTGCACAAGCCTGACCTATTTCTGAAGCGTTTGTTGACTGGTGATGAAAAGTGGATTACTTACAACAACATCAACCGAAAATGGTTGTTATCGAATCGCGGTGAACTGGCTAAAACGATGGCGAAGCCAGGATTGAAGGCTTGTTAACAGGAAGGTTTTGCTGTGTGCTTGATGTGATTGGTTGAATTGATGGGAATCATCTTCTATGAGCTGCTCTTCTACTACAAAATTCTTAACTCGGAATTATACTGTCAACAATTACACCATCTGAAGGAAACAATTGCCAGGAATGGACAGCTTTGTACAATGGAACAGGAATTGTATTCTATCAGAATAAAAACCAAAATTTTCGGGAGCTTGGTTGGAAAGTTATTATGCGTTCACCTTATACTCCAGACCTATGACTAAGTGATTACCATGTGTTTCTGTGCATAGCGAATGATTTCGCTTAAAGAAAGTCTTGTAAAAAACAACTGTCTCGATTTTTTTTCAATAGAGACAAGAATTTCTATGAGAGAGGCATAATGAAATTATATTCAAAATAGCAACAAATTATCAAACAGAACGACGCATATTTGACCGAAATCGGCCCATCCTAGCTATGGTAAATAAGCGTTCATTCAAAAAGAATGGATTTGTTTTTCCTAGACCTATTGATATAATTCAGTATAAGATTACCTTGTTGTGAATTAAGCATTAGAACAGGACTAATTTAAGTATTACCAACACCTTTGGTGCAATTACTATAGTGTCTGCTATCTTCTATTGAATTCCATATGAATAACGTTTGTGGTGACATTCTGCTCAAAGTATTGAGAAATACAACTGCTCACAGCGGTACTGTTAAATAATGTTAATTGTTCAATGCTAATATATCTTCGCAACTTAGTAACCCATTGTCTTTGTACAATTAGAAAAGAATTAAATAAACTTTATAATTTTACTGCATTGAAACTAAAAAAACTTTCTGCCGCAATGGGTGTTGCATTACTGCGCTCACCCTTATAATATT